AAAAAAAAACAACAGAACAGTATCTTGACTATTCACGGATGCATATCAACATTTTATATAGAATAATCATTAATATAGAAAAAAACAGAATATACATATTATTATGCGTAAATTCTAGATTTTTTTTTCTTCTTTTTATTATGCAAATGTTGTTATGTGTTATGTGTTAGTTTGGATGATATTATACGGATATTTCGTATAATGAGATATATAAATACACAAGCGATTGATCTTCAACCTTCTAAACTTCCTCACAAAAGAAAGATACCATTCAACTGCGTTCTCATTTCGAGTGAAAGGTATTTTCGAACATATGTACACAAATATCATGATCAATATTAAAAACAGATTATACACTTTCTATTTATTCAACAAAAAAAATTTTAAAAAAGCACGCTCTAAAAACAGAAATACTTCACATTTGAAGAGAAATAATGATTGAGCTGTTAGACAAAAAACAAACGAAATTTCATATCCTAGTTCAAGATAAATAAATAAAAAAACAAACAATATGCAACACGAACGGAACAATTTAGTTTCATGACATATCGATGGAATTAAATAGAACAAAAATTCTTTAGCGTAAATATTGTACGTTTCTAGATGTCACTAGAATCATCACAAGGTATTAGCGCAGTGGTGGATTTAGGACGGATGCAATGAATGCGCCCGCACCTACCGGAAACAGAAAATTTTGATTTTTTAACAACAAAAAAAAATTCTTTAATTATGTTTTTAGTGCTCTCCACCCATCGGAAAAATTTTCTAGATCCGCCACTATATTAACGTAACAAACACCGACAGATGACAGACAACTTCTCTAATGTTTCATCAACGTACGCTTAAATTATCCTTCACAATTTGATAAAAAGAAAAATATAACTCTGGCTAGCGTTCTCAAACAGATAAAAATATTTTCAAAATCAACAACGTAATTACGAAGTAAACAAAGAAATCCTAAACCTGACTCACATCTTTCGTTATACTCAAGCGTCAAAAAAAAATCTAGTATCGCCCGATTCATCTAGATTATTAGATTTTTACTCGATTGCAACTAGTGTGTAACGACAGTGGAAATTTAGTAACTGCGATTATTAGATTTTTTCTAGTTTCAACTATCGATTTATCGCCCGATAATCGATCGATTTAACTATTACTAGATGCACCTACAGACGCATCTAGTTAAAAGTCCCTGATATTTGCTTGGGTAGATAAACAATGCATAGTTTCAGTAGAAAGACTGTAAAAAAGTTAGTTGAGATATGGAAGTGCTTGGTCGAGTGCACAGATGTTTGACTGAAGATCACGGTTAATGAAATATTAAACTGTAGGGTTTTATTCAGACCCATGGTCCACGTCCTCGGCTTACCTAAATTAACCAAACGCTGTTGAAATTATCATTCTCAGAGACACCAAATATAACTGAACTTGAGAGAAATACATTTTAAACTGAACATAGTAATGACAATAATGAACATAAAGGATTGAAAAAGTATAAATAAAAAATCAACAGCTCAATATAATATCTGTAAATTTATCTTCCAATGATTAGTTCACCGCCATCTTCATCGACTGTTTCTTCTACTCTAATGAGCGCGCCCATAAAAGATGAAGCGTTACAATCAATGCTTTTTTACCAACACAGGAGTAAGAACAATAACTAGCTACTACTTTTATTCACTAAAACTATCATATATCCTAATTTCTTGAAAAAATCTAAACTTAAGTTATTACGGTCTAAACAAAACGAAGTGTCAGGTGTTAATTTATAGCCAATTGCAAGCCATCCGACTGATTATGATTATAATCATTACACGCGTTTTTCTGATCGTATAGTGAGCATTTCCAAGCATCTAATTCACCCATAATTTCTATTCCACTCAGTTCAGAGAGTGTTACAGAAGCTTCGAGTTGCAAAATAAACACTATTTGATTCCAATAAATCTGTTGAAATTTGGAGGCGGAGTGAATATCCTGAGTAACTCTTGTATTAAAGTTGTTCACAAGATTATTATATTGTCAAATCAACACGATAATTATGTACTTTTTAAGATAATTATTATCTAAGTTTTAGAATTCTTATTGAAATTACGCATTACTCAGAATTACTAATATTTCGTTACTAGTTTTCGCCATACACTCTTATGTAGCATATTGCATCTTGCGGTAGTCTAATCACGAGGGGGATTATACATCAATACTTTAAAAACAGTTCTCTCATACAGAATGACGATATTATCAACTAAAAAACAAGCAAATGAACGAGATAATCGAAAAGATGAAACAACTTCACAGCATAATCATAGCAGTCACCGTTTATCAACGTCATCGTCAACCGTAACTACAAACACTCGTTCTCGACAATCGATAGATGATGTCCAGAATCAACAACAACAACAGCAGCAACAATTATCAGGTACTAGTCAAACGGAAACAGACGAATCATCTTCATCATTACTTAACACTTCTACATGTAAGCGTAAAGCACGTTCGTCGCCACATCGTTCCACACGTCGTCAACGTGGAAATAATAATTCAAATAATAATAATAATAATAATAACGCCAGTGGTTCACAAAGTAGTGGAAGTAATGGTGTGACTGGATCAAATACTCCTACTAGTTGTAATTCGTCAGGAAACTTAGTTCAACAACAACACACAACAATGCAACAACAACATCTATCAAGTTCCAGTTCATCAAATTATCGTTGGACAAAAGATATGCCATGTTCTTCGACGACCCACATAGATTATGATGAAAATTCTCAATGTAACAGTGAAGATGAATATGAACAAACGACATTTAAATATGATAAAAATAATTTGAATGACGTAAGAAGCAATAATGTGTTGAAAGACAGAAACTTTTTGGAAGAAATTGGTGACTGCATTCATTTTTCTAACCCATTGATAAAAATGTGTGTAATTACAGAATTATTTTAAAGTTCCATTATCTTCCTCATTTGGTCATATTAATCTACTGTCCACTTGGACTACTTAGTAGGAACAGAAAAACTTGAAAAAGATGGGAGTGCAAAAGAGACTACACATACATGTAAAAGTTGGCTAATCAAAGCAAAATGTCGATGAGCTTACTGATACTTGTTACGCATGTTCACACATGAAAATCCATACATTTTTTTGTCCATCTACTGAGAATATAAAAAATGTGTATTGTTTAAGCTTATTTTCTGATTATCTTGTGCAAAATTTGACATAACATCTGTAGTATAATTAAAAATTATTTTTTCTGTTTAGCTTGAAATGCGTTTTGTTCGTGCACTTAAGGAGAAGAAAAGTTTTGTGATTAAAGCAATTAAAGAAGATGGGGCTTGTCTATTTCGTGCTGTCGGTAAGTAATTAAGACTTGCTGCATCGAAAATATACTTGTAAAATTTGTGTGAACAATCTATGATACTTTACGTACTAAAAGCTTCGATTGTTGTTATCTTTCGCAGTTGTTTGAGTTTCATTTATGAGAAGAAAAGCAGATTTAGTTGAACTTTTAGACCCTTCTTCTCCTATGTCTGATCGAAGGAATGTGACAGTTTAATGAGAAATCGGGAGAAACTTCAGTAAAAACAATTGAATAAAACTATAGATAGGAAAAACAGTTTGAATTTTTTTCGTATTGATCTAATCCTTCGCTTTCTATTTAAGATCACAAAACATATTCTGTTTCTCTTTCACAGCCGATCAAGTTTTGGGTGATGAAGATCTTCATGATACCGTGCGTCAAAACTGTATGGACTATATTGTAAGTTTATTTCTTGTTGACAAACTTGTTTTTAATTATGGTGTGATTCTCTTGCGGATCTTCTTTTAGTGTGACTCTGTCTCTTATTTTATAGGTGAAAAATGCCGATTTTTTTCGAAATTATATAACCGAAGATTTTGATCATTATGTGTCAAGAAAGCGTAAACATAACTGTCATGGAAATCATATTGAAATGATAGCATTATCCGAATTATACAATAGACCAATTGAAGTATATGAATATAGTACAGGTACATAAATTATCATGAATATAGGACACAAGAAATTAACCGTATTATTTTAAACCTAACTGTTGTATTTTAGAACCTATCAATACTGTGCATGGCATGTATAAAACAGACAATGAACCAATACGATTGAGTTATCATTGTGGTGTTCATTATAATTCAGTCATTGATCCGTGGAAACCAGTTCCGCTAGATCGCGGATCCGTGAGTATTCATGTATGTGTATCGTAAATTTTCAAGCTAGGAAGTATGCATCCAAGAACTAACCATGCATACTAAGCAACGTCAATTGTTCAGCATGGACTAAATATAAAATAAAAAATGAAAAAAATAGAATTAACTTTTATATTTTTTTATTTATATTTTTAATAGATTGCTCAAAATACATTAATCCAAAATACTATTCGTCAATCTGAAGAAAGTCACATTGAACAAGCGATGCTAGATGATAAAATAATGGCAACAGATTGGGAAGCAACACAAGATGAATTAATTCAACAAGTTGCACGTGAATCGTATTTAGAATGGGTCTGTGAAACAGAACAACAAAGAAATAAAGATAAATCGGTTCGTAGCTACAATCCTATTAATTTTGTCTTTCACAAGACGTTTACTATTTAGATGCCATCATCGAGTTATTCAGTGACGACATCTGGAAATGGTATTTATTCCTTGCAAAAAACTAACGAAGGTACGAAAAAACATAAAACTAATTAAATATTGACGAATTCT